GCCCCCGAGCGCCTCATGAATATCCATGAGCCAATGGAAACCCGGCGCGGAAAGCCCGTGCCGAGCTCGCCTGACCGTATGCAAACAGGAGCGGCCCCGGCACTCAATTATTCATGAGGCCCGCAAATGAGGGACCCGCCCCAGGATCCGACCCGGTGAAACTGACGCAATTCAGCCGCTAATAGTGTTGGGGCAAAATGGCCACCGAGACGACGGCCTAGAGAGGAAACCTAAGGCGACGGCGCCAACCTCAGGCCCCGCGGCCCGAACTGATTGCGGCACCATAGAGTCACGGCGGGAAAGAAGGGAACCGCGGGCCGCGGGAGACTTCCTGTGGCGACACCTGGGAACCGATGCCACGTGGCCATCCCACGTGTGCCAGTTCAGATTGAGAGCCGCTGTGCGGAAGACTGTGGCTCTATTTTCCTCTCCGATCCTCCTCACTTACCTCCTGTAATGCCCGCTCCCTAGATACAAACTCTTCCGGACTTCATGATTGGGTGCACCCCTTTTCCTGCCAAGCTCCACCGCATTCCACTCCCCTCCTGCACTGACATCGGACTGTAACCCCACCCCCACCCGTCTATCCAACCGTACAGCTCAGGTTTCCTTCTCCTGGTGGCAGCGGCCAGTCGATCCTGATTCCATTAACGGGACCCTTGCCTCTCGGTGATTGAGGATGGAGCCAGCAGCTGCCCCCCTCGCAGCTTGGCTAATGGAGTGGAACTGTGAGAGCGGCTTCCTAATCAGATCAGCTCTCATTTCTACACTCTCCGGTGGCCCGTCCCGGCAGAGGGTGAAAACCAACGCTCGTCCAGCCGGGAACAGAACAGGATGTACCTGAAGACTGGATTCCCGCGGCCAGCAGGCCCTGCCCATCGGAGCGGATGGTAAACATCACCAAGAACAGGGAGAGCAATACAGCAGGGCTACAGAGAAGGCAGAGGACATGGTTTCCAAAGTCAGTTCCCTTTATTAAATGATCTTTTTTTCCACAGACCAGAAATACAAAATAAAAGTAGAAATAGGCCCCAGTTAGGAGCTACAGGCCTGAGCTCACATGACCCCTGTGGCAGCAACTTGAACAGGACAAGCAGCTATATCCCTCAGGTCGGGAAAGGAGGACAAGGGTTTGAACCCAGCACTGCCCTGCCTCCCACCCAGTCTCTCCCCAAACTATGAAGAGCCATCCTTGTGAGGCAGCAGGGGAGTAAGACACCCCGCTGTCCCAGTGAAGGGCACCCCCCAGGAGAGCTTGTTCCCATGGCAGAATCCAAAGGCTACATTTCGTATGAGAAACTGGTACACAAACATGGGTGGGAGGCCGGGGGGTGACAGGACAAGCCCATGGAGAGAGAATTTTCCTCCTCTCTACTCATCGGATCCCGACGCAGAGTCTTCTGAGCTGGCGGGTGTGCTGGCTAGTTCCTCTTCTTCAGAGTCCTGAAAAACCAAATGTCTCTTTAGGGGAAAGGTAGAATCCCAGTTGCCCTCCTGGCACTGTTCAGTGGTGAAGGCCCCAGTTCCCTATCCCCATCCCTAAACTCCAACACCAGCCTTCAGAACCCCAGAATTCCACCTATCCACTCCCTCCCAGTACTCTTATGGACCAGCCACAAACCTCAGCCCAGAAACATCTGCCACCTCCCACCCCAAACTCAGATGGCCCCTCACCCTGCTGGGCCCCCCAGCCCCCAAACTACTGCCGCACCTCACTCCGCCTTCTCTTCTTTTTGCTCTTGTTCTCTCCTGAAGAGCTCTCGTCACTGGACACAAACTCTTTGCTCTTGAAGCTCTCACTGAGCTGCCTTGATGATGACTTGGATGATGAGCCCTTAGAGGGTGTTGACTTCTTTTCCATCTTTACCTTTACTTTCTTCTTCTTCTTTGACTTGTCCCTACATTAGCAAGAGGGCAAAGGGGCTGGGCCTTCAGGTTCATCACAGCCTTTAACAGGGCCTCTCTAGGTCCCAGCCATACTGCACTATAAACGTCAACAGCCAGCCATGTCAGCCCCAGGGGTCCCAAGGAAAAGCAGAAGACGTAGGGGTCATAACCTGGACACAGGCAAAACTTATTTATACTTATCTGACATCTCTTGCTTTATCTTTAAAAATTAATTACATGAATGATATAATAATATGTTTAAATATCCCATACCTTCATATAAAATTGACCCTCTAGGAAAATGGGCCATATTTATCCAGCACATTACCCATACTTGGGCAACTGCCTACCCAGATTTGAGAAGCACTGCCATACTGCAGTCAGAGGTATCTCTATTACCTTTAACACCCTAATTCTCAACTTGGACCTGCAAAACTATTTGCCAAAAAAAGCAGTTGCTGGGCCATTCTGTTCCCAACACTCACCTCTTAGAAGACTCACCCCTGCCCCCTTCATATTCTTTCATGGCTTTTTCATATTCCCTCCTGGCATCCTCAGCTTTGCGATCCCACTCCTGACACACACACACACCATGGGAGGGGGGTAGAGAGAGAACAGAGAATGAGATCCCTTCCCTGATGCAGGCAAAACCCATACAGAAAAGCTCTGCCAACAGCCCCTTGCCCCCTTTCTCAATTACAAGATTCACCACCCCTCATCTCTGCGGCTACTCACCTCTTTCTTCTCTTTGGACATTGCCTTCCAGATCTCTCCTGCCTTCTTGGAAAGATCAGTGATACTGATGCCAGGATGGTCTGACTTGATCTTCTCTCGGCTGGCATTGAGCCACAGCATGTAGGCAGACATGGGCCTCTTGGGGGCATTGGGGTCTTTGCCCTTCTTCACCTGCACAACCACCCAATGCCTTCAGCCACCTGTATCCCACAGACCCCCCCCCCCATTCTCCCAAAGCAATTATGTGGATCACCTACCTGGGGACAAAATGGAGAAAGGACTAAACAGCATCAAACTACACTGAGAGCTCCCCAAGGACAGGGACCATGAGAGCCCTGCACCCCAGTGCCCAGCTCATTAGGGGCCCCTTTCTTTGCTCTCCTGGAACAAAGCCTGTTTCCTATTCAGATATCCCAGAAGCTAATTATGTCAAGGACCAGAGAAGAACATTTCCAAGATACTCCTCGAGGCCGAAATCACTGGCTACAAAAAGCAACCCCAGGAGAACTAATCGAGAGGCCCCACTGGTGGTGACAGAAGTCAGACAATGGCCACCAGCACCCTCCCATTCAGAAGAGAGGCCGCACCTCCATAGGCTTCTTGCGGCTCTTGCGATCCTTGGCCATCTTGGCCTTTTTAAGCTGTTTCCTCTTCTTCTCATCCCGGTCACTGTCACCTTCGTTACTGGAGGAGCTGGCAGAGGCGTTGCTGTCAAACCTGCCAAGGAGAGTGGGGCCGAAACTCAGGTGGGGAGGACGGACCCCCACGGCCCCAGGTCAGGAAGAAAATAAGTCCAAAGACAACCTGCTGAGAAAGGGGAATGGGAGGACCACACAGCCTCCACCACCATCTCCAACTCTGCTTCCTCCCCTTCGCTGAGGCGGCTTCCACCGCCACCTCTCCAGACCCAGCCACAGCAATGGGCTAGCTGGTGACTCAATCAAAGGAAAGCAAATGGGCTTCAGCTGCTCTCCTTGGTCACAGCCTAGCCCAGGTCCCACTCCATCCCCAAGCTCCTGAGGACAGGAATTCTGTCTCATCAACATGCCCCAAGTCCACTGCACCACTTCCTTTGAGTTACTCGCCTTAATCTACCCTGTAGTCTTTCTAGTAAAGAGATAATTACTAGAAAAAGTGGGGGAAACCCGCTCTGGCCTAACCCAGTTCATACCCATGTAATTAACAGTCCTATCTGATACACACAGAATGCCAAGAAGGGACAACCACCGATACCTGCATGGTGCTCACGTTTTCAAGGCATTTTCATGAGCCTTTTCTCAATGACTCACTATGAACAAGCATGTGGCAAGCACAGGTAGTGGACTCCCGTAGACTTTCTTTTCTATTTCTCCCCAATATTCATTCCAGTTCTGGATTAAGAGTCTCCACTTTCTGTTGGGAACCACTGTGTTGCCATTCAGGAAAGGCTCACCCATCCGCAGGCACTTAGGGTAGGTGCATGGCCTAGTTCTGTCCCATCAGAGCACATGCTCATAACTCAGGTTCAGAAGGGCCACGTAACCACCTGCTCACTGCTGCCTAAGAGCAGAGGTACTCCTGGTGTTAAACCAGTTGGACTAAGCCTCTGAGGTTTCTGAGGGTCACTTGGCACTGCATGGGGCAAACAAACCTATTAAAATAAGCAAATCAGCCCTGGCTGGTTTGGCTCACTGGATAGAGCATTGGCCTGCAGGCTGAAGAGTCCCGGGTTCAATTCCGGTCAAGGGCACATGCCCGGGTTGTGGGCTCGATCCCCAGTAAAGGTCATGCAGGAGGCAGCTGATCAATGATTCTTTCTCATCATTGATGTTTCTCTCTCTCTCTCCCTTCCCCTCTGAAATCAATAAAAATATGGAAATCAGAAGGAACAGAAACACATTCTCCATGGCTTCTGAGCACCTTGATCCAGGTGCCTGAAGCCAATCTTATCCCTTGGCCTCTCCAATTACAAGAACTCACAAAATTCCCTTTTATGCTATAGTCGGTTTGTGATATATTTCTGACACTGGCAATCAAAAGTCTTGATCAATATGGGGGCGCTACTGCCATTTCACAGATGGAAAAGCTGAGATTCAATGACCTAAGGACTCTCAGCTGGTAAGTGGGAGCACTGGCTGAATCTCAGCCCAGCCTCTCCCACTACCCTTTTCTGGATTCACAACGTGCCTTGCACTGACACTTGACGATTTTATTCTTTCTTTTTTTTTTTTAATGTATTTTTATTGATTTACATATGCCCCTGACCGGAATTGAACCCAGGACCTTTCAGTCCGCAGGCCAACGCTCTATCCACTGGGCCAAACCAGTTAGGGTTATACACTTGACGATTTTCAAAGCATCATCTCCACCTATCACCTCACTGAAGGTCATTTTCTATCCTGGATCAGTAGCTTATGCTGGGGACGCAAGAAATGGCCAGATATTCCATTAAGCTTCCCTTTAAGCTCACAAGCCACCCTCATGGGGTGGACCCAAAACTCACTCCTCTGCCACGTCCTCCTCCTCTTCACCTGGGTTGAAAGACTCATCTGAAAAGGAACACAGGACTCATCAGTTCTGCCCCATGGAAATCCCCTCCCGACCCAGACACCTGCTCTGGCTGGAAGAGTCTGACAGCCCCTGCCCAGCACTGCCAAAGCTAGCCCACCGGTTTCTTCTCCCGAGTCATCACTGCTGTCGTTGGCGTTCTCTTCCCGGATCTTGCCCTCCTCCTTCATCCGCTCCAAGTAGGCATCGTGCTGATCTTCATCAGAGTCAGCATAGTCGTCGTAGCTTGGGTTCATGCCCTAGGCCGGGAAGAGATGGGAGTAAGGGCCACTCGCCCCGGTGCCAGAACCCCGGCACACTCAAAAGCACGCCCCCATGCCTGTAAGATCAGAGCAACAGCCCCCAGCTGGGGCTGAATTGTCCACACACAGCCAGCGTGCAGGGCCTATGCCCCGAAAACTTCCTGCCAACTGGGTTAGTCCAAGCTCCTCCCTCTCCCAGCCCCACTGGGGGCTCCTGGGGGCGGCAGAGACTGATCTAAGGTCATGCGAGGAAACCTGCATCAGGAGGGGAAGGGTCACACGCACCTCTTTCTTCTATAAGGGTAAGAAGAGAAGGGAGTGTGAAAAAAAGCCGGAGGAGTCCCTGCCCTTCCCCCACCACAGAAAGAACGGGAGAGGCTCGGCCTTTCCACACACAGCGGTACCTCTTTCAATCCTCGGTTTTTGATGTTGAGTTTTTTTGCATTGACAAAATCAAACAGCTTCCCATACTCCTCCCTGTGGGGGGAGATGCACAGTTACCAGACAGGCAGGGCCAACGAGAGGAGGACAACCACGGACCGGGACAGACTATGGGGCCTGGAGCTCTTGACCACGTTATCCAACCCAACAGCTCAGAGACACTCGGAGGACAGCAGGAAAGAGTCTGACACTAGTCTTGAAAGAGGAACCTGTACATCTCTCAAGAGTTCTGAGAAAGAAAAGGTGGGGAGGGGTGCACCGAGTAGGGGGAGGATGCCAGGGGAGGGGATGTCATCTTCTGACCGGATTGTATTTCATACTTCACCGTTGTTATGAGGATTAAGTGTGAAACAGCAAGCACTCGATAAACATTAGCTGTGTTCTGGGCACCGAGCTCATTCCAGGAAAGGGAAAGATAGCATTTCCATCATGGGGGGGAGGGGGGGGTGGAGGAGGAGAGGGCTAGTACTGAACAAGAGCTTTAGTAATATGGAAAACAATATTGTTAAGAACAGAAAAAAAACAATGCAGAGGCTTCCAAAGGCTGACCACTTCAAAGAGAAGAACCAAATCCCAAGGAAGCAAAAGAAAAATTCTGCTCAAAGCAAGACGTCAGGGACAAGTCACAGGCCAACAAGGGGGTCCCAGGCCTCCCAGTCAAGACTGGGTAAGGACCATGATACCCAGGAAGGGACTGGCAGAGGCTCTCACCTCTCAATGCTACTGAAGGTATACTGAGTGCCCTGCTTGGTCTCAATTTCAAAGTCAAAGGACCGTGTGGTGGTGGTGCCACGGGCAAAGTTGACGAAGGAGATCTCATCAAAGCGGATGTGCACGGGAGGCTTGTGGACGTAGATGAAGCCCCGCTCCAGCGGATACAGCAGTCCTGAGCTTGCCTTGTAGGAGCAGGTGATGCACTGGGCCCCGGAGTGCCTGGCGGAGGGCACAGGGAGCCCAGTCAGTGCCTGAGGCAGCAGGTGGCACAGAGCCACAGAGAACATCTCTCGGGAGTATATCTGCTCAGGCCCTCAAGTGAGTGAACCTCACTAAGCTGCTCTAATGAAGGTGACTGACACCATCAAGATACAACCCAACCAGGCCTCTGAGAAGCCGTGCTCCCAACCCAGGGGGGCTTACCCAGGAGACGTGGCACAGCCCATCCCCGAGCCCAGGACCCGGGCCTGCACGCTCACCCTTGGAAGTTGCCCGGAACTGTGATCTTGCGGTTCACCAGTGCCTTCATGACCCGGCTGACCATCTCATAGAGGGATCCCGACATGTTCTTGGTGAGCCGCCCCTCAAAGCGCTTCTCGACCTCTTCTCTGCAAACAGAGGAAGATGAGATCAGGAGCACAGCTGCCTCCTAATGCACACCTACCTCCTGCAGGCAGGGGCAGGCATGAGGGAGCACTCACTCATTCATGTTGAGAGTCAAGGAGATGTCCTCATCCTTGGAGAAGAGGAGGATCAGGAAGTGGTAGCGGGTCTGGCCTTGCTTGATGGGGGGATCCAGGCTGATCTGGTAAGGAAGAGCCAACAAGGCTTAGCACCAGTCGAAGCCCCACGAGAACCCCAGTGAAATCCACCTGCCAGACTCGGGAGAAACCAGGCCAATCCACTCCCAGTGATTTCTGCTCACCACAAAGAACATCTGGCGCTGGTCCTTGTGGGGCAGCAAAAAGAGGCGCAGCACCGTGGTGTAGGGGATCTTGTAGTCGAAGGTCTTGCCGTGCAGATGCAGAAAGGTGGGGTAGATCCTAATGTCGTACCGTCCTCGGGGAGTCAGACACTGCAGCTCCCGGAAGATACAGATGGCGTCTCCCGTGGCCTGGATCACATCCGCCTTAGACAGCACGTTCTGGGCAAAGGCCTGCGAAAGCACACACTGGTAATGGAGCAGCAGGAGCCGTTCCCGGGCCAGCCAGGCCCGCTGGGCACCATCTGCCCCCAAAGTGACCCAGGGAGGCCTCACCTCAACAGGGTCCACGCCATCCTCTTGGGTGGGAGGCACGTAGAAGCGCACCTCCATGAGCGAGACCTCTGCGTCGTCGTTCTGGTGGAACTCCAGCGTCACCTCGTTCTTGCCTGTGGTGCACTGGGACACGTTGCTGAGGGGTATCTCGAAGACCGGCTGGTCGCCAATGTCAAAGGAAAGCAGCTGCCCTGTGGGGAAAGGGCTCTCAAGCCACAGCTCCTCTCCCCTCGGGTCTACCTAAACCACGTTCCCACCAGACACAAGTTCCCTGAGGCCAGGGCTACCGTGTTCACACCACACCCGCAAGACCAGGCACGGTGGGCCTTGATAAATACATGATGAATTACAAACGGAGAGGAGATCAGAGACAGTGACAGAAAGAGTGAAACAAGTTAAAGGCTGCCACCCTCTTCCTACTTTCTCCCCAAACCTCAACCGGGCCCAGGACTCACCACCAAACTTCACCGTGCCCCAGTTCCAGCCCTTCACACACAGGTCCTTCTCCATTAGCTCAAGGCGATAGTGAGTTTTGAAGAAATCGGCGAGTTTCTCAAACTCCTGTGGGTGGAGCGGAGAGAGCAATCCCAGTAACACTGACGGTTTTAACACAAGCTTGAACATTCTGCAATTATCTATTTCTGAGAAATTACCCCAATATACCTTTTATCAGAAATCCATGCTGACTTAGAATCTCAGCTATAAAACACTGTAAGAGGTTGTTTCTGGGGACTGGATCTCTGGGAGGGGAAGAGTAGAGTAAGGAACTGACCGCTCGCGGTTATGGGCCTCACCGTGCTACCTTGGTGCAGGTATTGCTTTAATGAAAGTGAACATTAGAAGGAAGTGGACATGAAAATGAAGTAAAGTCTTCAACTCAGGCAGTTCAACGTGGAAAAACAAAACCTGAACTAACGCATCAAGCTAAGACTCTGCACCTGAATAAAGGCAACAGCAGACACCAAAAAAAAAAAAAAAACGGCAGAAAATCTTCTGGAAGTCAAGGCACAACGATACTCCAGACTGTGACGCCCAAAGCTGAACACTCATTGCCTGGTGGCCTCCACCAATGGCCCTGCTCCACGGAGCTCAAACCAGCAACTGCGTGGTTACCACAGGAAGGAGGCCCAACTCTCTCTAGAAGATTAAAATGAAACCAGATGGCACCATAAAAAGGGGGTTTATGGCAAGAGGACACCTCACCGATTCTCGGAAGCCGTCATACTTGTAGACGTGGCCGTTCTTTGTGAGCAGTTTAAGTCCATGGCCCAGAGCCACACGGCGCCAGATGCCTTCCGTCAACTCCCCCGCCTGGATGTTGTCCACTTTGCCCGTCTTACTGTTCTTGAAGATGATGCCCTGGCGGCTCAACCTCAGCCGCCCATCATTCTGTTGGAAAAAGGGGTCCAAATGCATCATTCTACGCTGGCCAGGTATCAATCCAGAAGCCACAGCTGAAGTGCTGGGGGCCAGCAAAAAAAGGAACAAGTAGCCAGGAAGCCCGGATCCTAATCCTGGCTCTGGCATCCAGAACCCCTGCAGGTCCTCCGTTTCGGATTCTGGATTGAATAGCAGGTGCGGTCCCTTCAAACTCTGAGACCCTGTAACTCTCGTACTTTCTCACTGTCACCTTTCTTGGGGCAACACCAAGTACATGACACTCTGACTCCTTTTCCAAAGTAGCAACACGATCCAAGCAAGCTCTTGTGAATGGACGGAAAGTCTACCCCGCTCCAGGTTCCCCACCTCCATCAAAAGCGCAAGCCCTTCTTACCATGGAGCCTTTCACCTCCTGGTAGATGTCGTTGAACTCCAGTGTTTCTGCCATGCTAACTGCCCCTTTTGGCCACAACCGGGAGCTGGGCCCCAGATCCTGGATGGGTGTGCAGATACTCCCTCAGCAGGTTGGAAATCTGAATTCAAGAGGGAGACACCTGAGCATGAAAGACAACACCTCACTCTGCCCACAAGGATCTTCTCTGCCTGCGAGCCTTCAGGTGGGCTCCGCAGACCTCGAGGGGCCAGACCCAGCCCCGACCAGAGAACTGGGCCTGGTGTAGCGCTTACACCCCAACCAGACACAGGCTCTGGGCGCTCCACCGGGCGCCATGGCAACGAGCTGCCCATGGTACCCCCCGGGCCAGCCCGGGGCCCGCACTTCGCCCGCGCCCTAACTTCTCTGCCTGCGAGCCTTCAGGTGGGCTCCGCAGACCTCGAGGGGCCAGACCCAGCCCCGACCAGAGAACTGGGCCTGGTGTAGCGCTTACACCCCAACCAGACACAGGCTCTGGGCGCTCCACCGGGCGCCATGGCAACGAGCTGCCCATGGTACCCCCCGGGCCAGCCCGGGGCCCGCACTTCGCCCGCGCCCTAACAC